GACTGGTACAGGACATGGGAAACGAGGACTATTTAAACACATGAGGGAGGGGAACCCCAGGTGTACACAATAGGTAATCAAGACATTCCCCCAGACGTGACACTGTGATTCTGGAGAGGAGCTGAACTGTTTTTATTTATTTATTTTTCAGGGAGCAAATGAGAAGATCTCCCATTTACGATCTCTGCCTGGCGATACAGTTTATTCCACAGGAGTTTGCAAATCTTCAAGTTACTCGCGAAGAATTTCTTTGCATGAAAGCCATAATATTACTCAACACAGGTAAGACCCACTGGCTTCCTCATGCTGGTTTTATCTTTTAAATGAACCCAGGAATGCCATTTCTATCCTAATTGATATATAAGGTTTCTGAAATCTTTTTAATCAAAACCCAGTTGTAAACAACCTGATGGAAAGGGAAGAAAATCCGTACTAATTTGAACTCATCACACATAATGAATGATAAAAATTAAGACTTCAGACCAAAAAAAAAGTTAAATTGTCTCTATTTTTCTTGGATCAGGCTTCAAAAGTGAAAAGTGAAGCTCTGCTGACCGTCAACCGTAGAGCTGCAGAATAATGGGAGTGATGTCCAGGATTAGAAGACCTTGACAGAATTTATGTAGCATCTCTTATCAACTTCTATTTATAAACTGCCCGGATATCAGAGCGTAGCTTTTGTTTCTCCCTTTTTATTTAAATAGGACCATGTTTAAAACGATGTAAATATTGACTGGCGCTTGAGGGCCCAGAGTCAGAACTAAACCAGGTTCTGCCTAATCCAAGAATAAAACAAAACAGAAAATTACTTTTTTTTTGTTTGAAGTCTTTATTTGGCCTTTTAACAAAAGATGTAAAAAGAAAAAACAGAAATACATTTTTAATATTAATAATTTATTACTATGCGATAAGTCAACATTATTTTTTGGGTAGTCTTCTGCCCCCTGTTATCAGGTTTATCTAATTGTGTAAATTAGGATTTTGAGCAAAGTTTTTACCATTAAATTATGCAAAAGGACTCAGACGCAAAACATTTCAGAAACCGTATGAATCAGATATGATACATTTGGCATTACAGGGTTAAATTCTCTGTGAAGCACTTTGAATTGTCTCGTACACGAAATGTGCTGTAAAATAAACTTGCCTTGCCTTGTATTTTTGCTTAGTGCCCCTTGAAGGACTCAAGAGTCAGGTAGCCTTTGAGGAAA